TTTCGTTAAAATATTTTCCCATAGTACTCCTTGTTTATCGTCAGCTGGACATTCATCATCCGCCATATGCGGTCCACTACATCATGCAGACTGAGTCCAAGCGAGCTTGTTGTAAAAGCAAAGCTTATCTCATGGATTAGATTGGTGAGATTCACCAGTCACCATCAAAGCATAATTGTAGCTCCAGACAACGGCTGAACATGAGCACTGACAAGATAAAGATACATCGATCGACCATTTGCATAAAACGCAACTAATTACACTTCCTTATTTCACCACACCACCCGTGCATGTCATAAGACTAAGCAAGTCAAATAATACATACACGCGGAGAGGATACGCGTGATCGGACATCGGTTTTGCTAGTCGCGATGGTAGTAAGGGAAGTAAATGCATCGTAAAAATTATTGACTTTGTGGTAGAGATACACCGATTTCCCCCGTTCACTGTCGGGAAATGTGGCCTCGCTCTGAATACACTATTGAAGCAAGCTGGCTGCCCTCCCACATATAAGTAACAGGCTTCAACTGTTTGACGGGGACTCCATCATAAAACTCGGCCAACCTTGTAATCACCTGGCCTGACGAAACTCTTATGTCGAATACTGCGCGGCAATAGGTCTTCGAAGTGTCCAGAAACGATGACTTCTAACTTAGTTTAGAACGCTTTCTAGTGCACTTTATCATATTCGTAGTTATAGTCAATGTGAAAACCACTATGACTTTGTGGTGGGGATGCATCACTGTCGGGAAACGTGGTTTGGAACCGACCAATTTAACGCTGCTGTAGGCTGACTGCATGCGCAGGAAACATTGCAGCCTACATAAAGCACTACAACAAGCCTATGTGGCGCTGTGCGAATTCGCACAGTACTACGGGACCGAAATTCCACCCATCCGGGATAAACAGAAGGCTCGAAGCACTCATCGGATAGGACAGCTTCCTTGTTTAGACGTAATACTCAAGACTGAAGCTTCAGATCTATCGATACTGAGGAATTCAAACATATAATACCAAATTAAATTAAATGCAAAATCCACCTGCAAGTAGTATGAACGGAAAGGCAACCCAGGCGTGCCACACTTGGACTTCTCGTTTTAGGATCTACAACATCTAAACAACTTTTTGGAACGATAAATTCACTGTCGAATAGACAGCGATTGCGTACTAAAAAAGTCCTCCTCTGCGAAGTAGCGCAAACAGGCCCGTATCTGTTGTTTCGGTTGTATAATAAATGGGGTTTTGAAAGATCTATCTCGTCGTAATGTTAGTCCAAACTGGTTTTTTTAACGAAAACGAACGGGGGCAAATTGTGGGTATCGCGCGCAGTCATCTGAAACTGATGGCTCACAAGTGACTTTAGCTCTAAATGACACGAATGGTAGGTGCTTCAAATCCCGTAGCGTTATGCTCATACAGATTTCCAAATTTATTCAGCCACACGAAGCTTGGAAAGTAGTATTTTCACTAGCCCGCAGTGAATTCGAGTGCTTATGCTGATCAGAAGGAAACATAATCAACCTATCTTATGAGCAAAAAGAGCGCAAGATATTCGTACTGCAGTAACAGTGATCATACACACAGTGTACAAAAATCGTTGACCTAAGCCCATTCTCCGCGGGTATTTGTGGAAACAAAGACGGCAGGCTATTATGTTTGAACTTGTGGGCAACCATAGGCAAAAAGCCGACTGTAAGAAAGCTAACAAATGGCATGAAATAGAAAAGGATTTATTGCGTGCTAGTCTATCAGTGTCTTAACCGTTCGGAAAAACCTGTTGAAGATAATGGATACGACAGTCCACAGCCAATGGCAGAATAGACAGCATTTAGGCGAGATTGCGCAATCTGCTGTGCTAAGTTACATCCCTTGTGTAGCACGGATACGACTTCGGATCGTCCTTCTGGCGTCGTCCTAAGTTCGTTGACCCGATTCCGAATGGGACTGAGTTCCTCGACCAATGCGTCTGTTACTCTTGACTTGAGTGTCGTCTTATCCCATAGGCTTGCCTGTTCTTCAACGGCTTCCAACGGACGGTTCTATCAGAAAATAAAAAAAAAGATTATTGACACCATCGTCCATTTCATTATCAAAAGTATTAGGAAAGATTTTGTGCTTTCGGTAAGCGATAAACAACTAGCCCCATCTGTGTAAGTTCATTCTGCAAAGATGGTACTTGTAAGTAAAACTCGTTATAGTCTTGTTTCACTAAGTTATTAGGATATCACGAAGCTCCTGATCTTTGACAACATCTACGGACTTCATGGACTACGAAAGGAACGTGCATCTACTTCGTATTGAGCGAATTGCCTCAAACGGGGACTACGACAGATGAATTACCTAATGAATTACCAGGTTATGTAGTACTGCTCCAACTGGTCACAAAACCCTCAGCTGTGAAACCTTTTTCGTAGGAAGCAGAAGAACCAAGATGGTGCCAGGTTAGTTGAGGTGGCGGTCCAAATCCTGAGGGTTGAGTTCAATCTGTGGACTACCTGGTAAGCAATACTTAGACCGCTGTATTATTTCGACCCAATTCTTAGCACCAAAATATCCTAGACGGAGTTCGTTTAACAAACATCTTTCTGGCTAGACAGGCCGTCAGTGGAAATGTACCTTGGTCGAGTCATTCAGCTGGCTAAAACCATGGGGCATCGTCAACGTTAATGACAACATTTATTGTCCAACTTGCTAAACTGTTTGATACAAGGTTCCAGTAGAGGCAGGTTACTAAAGGCGTACACCTACCTCAGTCTTAAAGCCACGTAAAGCAAGTCTAAACTGAATCGCTGGATACCTTATCACAAGACATGTCCCAAGGGAACGAAGCTCTCTGCTCTGGCAGAGCGCCATTCTGCACTCGTTCAATTTTCCGACAAACTTTGTTACGAAAAGCCGACTGGGGAGGCGGAATGCCCCGAGGGTAATGTGTACATCTCCACCGGAAAGTAACAAATCGCTTCGAAAAACCGACCTTGCAGGTAGTGTGAGATTTGGGAACTTTCAACGGGAGTTTAGTCCCGTACGTGACGCTAATCTATGCTGAAAAGCCGAGAAGCATTGTAAGACGGTCTCATCTTTAGTGGAAATCATTGTACTCCAGAGTTTCTAGCCCCTCTCGTAGTTCGACATTCAACCAGTCTGCCACGAACGGTTGAGCAGCGTGTGATTGGTTCGCACTTGGCCAATGCCATTCATCCTTCAAGCATTGTACAGACGGTCTCATCTTTATTGGAAATCATTGTAGCCCCTATCGTAGTTCGACATTCAACCAATCTGCCACGAATGGTTGAGCAGCGTGTGATTGATTCGCACTTGGCCAATGCCATTCATCTTTCAGTCATAGAATACACATCATACAGGCACTGACTCCTCGAGTGACGATTTCTCAGATGGAAGGCCCGATAACCCTGTGAATTATACTTCCTTTGAGCTACTTATTTTTTGTTGGCAGTGTAAGATCTAATGGCTTCAAATGGAGATTTCCTCCTGCAAGCGAAGCCGATCCGTGCTGAAAAGTGAATTACTGTACAACTTTATCATTCTTAATGGGGATCATCAGCAGTGCAATCCGCACTTTAATTTATACCCTATTGATTTCCGAGTAAGCGCGGAAAAGGGTGAAACATTTTCAACTGTCAGTCACCTCAGCCTTTGGAGATCACCTCGGCCGACAATTATTGAAGCTAGCGAATGAGCACACACGTGCTCACGCTCTGCTAATAGCACCGAGAAGCAAATCTCCTAACTGTTATATCTTACTCCTATTACCGCTCCAGGGCCTTAGTATCAGAAAAAGACCCTCCAAAAAGCAGCAGCGAACAATCGAGTGCAACAGTTACAAGGGATCTCGCGCTATTTTGAAGTTAACTTCTCATCGATTCAGACTGTTGCTGAATTGGTTGAATGACTGACTGAGTGACCTGGATACTTTCCGGCTTCCCTATAGCGATTTTGGTGAACCTTTAGGGTCTTAGCGGGCTTTTGGCATTCTGGGGTCGTTTTCGGGAATCTGACCTTCCTGACAGTTGTGATTAGACCAGTTGAGCAAGGTTTCCTCAGACCTAATGCGATGTTCAGGGTATGCAAACAAGCTAGATACCGGTAATTTAGAAATGGCGCCTTATTTACTATTAGACCAAACTGGCCAGTCAATACTTTCGACTGGGCCTATGAAAACAGTATCAAAAGGTGACTTGAGGAATATAGTTACCTATTTGGCTAAATGTCAAGCCATTAGACAAATCCAGCCCCACTCTCAGATGGCGTTTTGTTTCTCCCGCGAAACGGGACTTGAAGATGAGGGAACTCAGCTGTCACCGTGCTATACTGAACACGGATTTTAACCGTACGGTTTGGTGAACAGGTTAACAATGACCGAGGGAGTGAACATGATCACAGACCTCAGTCTTGGAACGGAACGCTCCAGAAGGACAGGCAGAGAGGGTAGGACGGGAATCGGAGGTGGGATATACCCGAGTCAACGGGAATACGCATTTCCACCAGAAAACAAGGCAACCGCAGCATATGATGGCGGAAAGTAGTACAGATATAACATGGCGCGTGGTATCCGAAATTTTGTTTGTTACTTAAATGAAACACCAGTTTATTTCCCCAGAGCGAAAAAACAGCCCTCCGGCAGTTGGATTTCCACGTTTATGTGAAAGGAGAAATCAGCACCCAAACCCAACCAGCCTAACAAGACGAAGCACAAGTTAACAAAGGGAGGGTGTCAAAATCCTCTGGTAGTTATCCGCCATCTCCCCCGGGTATCAGTAGCAGTCGATGTAGTCAAACTAGTCACATTGCTAGAAAACTGCCACAAACGGACTTTGGATAAAATGTTACAACGCACTGAGGTACAATTCAACGGGACTTATCTGTCAACAGTCATCCACAAGAATCTCCCAGAGCAAATTATGGGGATTAATGGCAGTCGTTTACAAGGATATTTCATACGAAAGAGCTGATCGCATGAGAAGGATCAGACAAATTAAATCACCCGTTGTACAGAATTTCTGCAACTTGGTTGGAAACGGGAACAGTAAGCTCCAGTCCAACAAATCTTACCTCCAAGGCAGACAGGATGCGGAGTAGATTGGCGATACCGGGTCTATCTTCAGCATTGTAGCTGACTCCGAGCTGGGAATCGGTTTGGGCACGCCGGACTTTCAGACGGATCTGGTCAGGTGAATCTGTTAGGTAGATGCATCCACCCTCAGACGGATCAGATTTGCTCATCTTTTTGGTGGGATTACGGAGACTGTTGATCTGTCAATGATCGATGGAGGACATGATAAATTAGTAAATAAGCACAAGTATGGAAACAACTCGCGGTACATTTCACGTTATGGTGGTCTGGTACTTTTCAGAAACACAACTACGCCAAAGCCCCAAAATGATTCAGCAAGTAAATAAGCACACGTATGGAAATAACTCGCGGTACGTTTCACGTTGTGGTCTGGTACTTTTCAGAAACATAACTACGCCAAAGCCCCAAAATGATTCAGCGGGAATCCAAAAATGACCAACTAAGATAAGTAATGAACTATACACAATTTTTCGGGCCTTCTGCCAGAGGCCAAATAACCCTCGGAATACCTTAAATTGATTCCGGACCATCTTGGAATTTCTGCTGACACACTTTAGAACACCTAAATAGCCATCTGTAGAATTCAACCTAGAATGCACAAAAAATGTCAACATATCTTGACGAGAAAATCACAGTTGCGGGGAATGTTCATCAGAGCACGCTCTAGGAACAGTCACGTTATTCTGTTGGAATTCAAGACTGTGGATGATCCACTAGGTCCATATATTGCATATATGCAAAGCGTCTACACAAGACTGGCTAATGCCGTCTTCAGCTTTCAATTAAGACAATCCCTCAGTGTAACTGTGTATCAGTTGCTTTCGTTTAAGGCCGTAGACCACACGAATGATCCTATGTATATCGACTCGACCCGAAAAGATTCTTGCTAAATACTTATCTGTTTGCTCATCACAGGTATCACAGGGGCCTCGTAAGCCACGGAAACCTCTCGAATTATCGAGCGTACAAGATATTCGCCCCTCTACAACAGCCCAATCGTGAGAGGTACTCAAAAAGCTTCACCAACTGGGCTTCAAATTAACTTCTTTAAGGAATTTACTCTTTAGAGATCCACATTGGGGTCATACCATTGTACCTGGCGGGGAAAAACGTTCCACCAATTCAGGGATTACCAAAACTGCCCACAAAACAAATGTGAGTATCACACTGAAAAACATACTTTTGGGGCGCCTAGGACCAAACCAGTAGGGATTCGTAAGATGGACGCTAATGCGGGCCACCTTGTGGTTGCTGAGCGGACGAGTTCACGCGCAAGCTCAATATGAGCTGTTTGGTCCGCACCAACAGGAACGACGTCAGCACCATACAACAAAATATCAGCAGCTTGAAGCACAGGATAGGTGAAGAGGCCAACGCACGCGCCAGCAGGAGCTGAGTCAGGCGATTGCTTGCATTTGGCGTGCGGTGGCGCTTGCTCATTCACAGAATGCAAACCCGACTTGTCTCGCCATTGAGGTAGATGAGCTAATCTCTTGGGATGAAGAAGGAGAAGAACGAGTAACCAAGAAACGCCACCAGACAAATCCACAAACTTGAATATAAAAAGGAATGCACATTAGTGATAAGCCACTTCAAGCAGGATTCAAAATACTCAGGGGTCATGAGAATCTGACGTCAACCTTCTGCGCACTTGAAATAATCAACAATGAATGGTTTACAGTTTCTATTTCCGACAAAAGTCGACAAGACTTGCCAAAAAAAGGAATTAAAAGACTTTAACCTGGATCGTAACATCGCAAAGTCAGAGTTTCCCTCGACCAATTAGATTACCTGCGACCTTCATCGCTGTGGGTTTAGCCAGGCTTTGAAGTCTGTTTGTTGGTTTCTGCAAAAGATAATAGTTTCAGTCAACTGTCTGAAGACTGAGTGTTGTTTGATTAAATGGCAAAGCAAGTCAATCTATTTAAGCCACTCTATCCGATCAAACACGTCCTCAAAAGGCGACAACTACCGACATGGAAATGTATGACCATCTTTGGTTCAGGTTCGTAGCACCAATGCAACAGAACGACGATGTCACTTACGGAAATAGAACAGCAGGACCCCAGGATCCAAGCTAACTCAGTATGACCTCGAACAGAAGACTGTGGGAAAATCGAACAGATAGGGTTTTCACCTTCATCCAGGCAGGCGCACAGTACACATGCTAAGTCCCACACGGCCTCTGATAACAAGGTGCTTTTCATTGAAGTAAGAGCATGTAGATCTGCAATAAGAAGTAACAGACCAGAGAGGACTCCGGATTTTTTCAAGTCCACACACGGTTTGATAACACCGAGGTAATTTCCGAGATGAGGTATGCCAGTGGGTTGAAGGCCTGTGAGAGCTACTTGCCCACTGAGCTTTCTTCGGCAATGATGGCCAGATCGAGTGACGATTAGCCCGATTGGGATACACCGGAACATAGCCAACACATTCAAAAGAAATGCCACCGCAAATCGACTAGGTCAGTAGAGGTTGTCCATTGAGAGGTCCTTGTTGTTAAAAGAAACCAGTGACGGGATTACCTCCCACGGAAACGCTAAAACGAAAATATAAAGACAAATGATATACTTTTCCCTTCAGCTTAGGACTATAAATTGCACTAATAGCTCGAGATGGCTCAGTAGTCAAGGTGCAAACTAAGTGACCGGAAAGTCCGTGGTTCGAACCCAACCTGGACTGTTCCTGTCTAGACTTCAGCAACCTACCAATATCTCTCAAAAATAGTCCAAATATGCATTCGGGGAAACGTTGAAAACTTAACCTGAACCAAAATAATAGACTACTCCCACATTCGTGAATTTGGGTGAGGTGCGTCTTTTAAGATTAAATCTTCATGATGCTCCATGAGCTTGGCTGCCGACGTGGCAACAAATGGTACCTAACCTGTGACCGTACTGTCAATAGCTTTCCAGTGTCAGACTGGGCATTTAGAGGTTTTTCGACCGCAGAATGCTTCAGGTAGGTCGGCTCCAGGTTCCTCTATCTTCTTTTTTCACTTTAAAACTCAGTGTAAAGGGATAGAGGTTGTGGTTGCATGGCGGCGAATCATGCGTATCAACTGAATTTGTTGTTTCTGAATATGGCGACATTCGTGAAGAATGCAAAGTTCGTGTTTTGCTTCCTCTAGTTATCTGATTGTCAGTTGGTCCCTTGTTGTTCCTTTTAACTACTGATCAGTTAGCAAGGAACCACCCCCTAAAGTGTCTCCTTGCTACGATGTGACAAGTAAGAAAGCTATTAACTCCTAGCGGTCTCCATAACAAAATGTAAGATCACGCTCTCTTTCATATCTCCACCAACTCGTAAGCCATTGATCCCCATAATGATGTGGTGGAAAGTTTCGATAAGTCCCAAGCTTCTAATTCTCCTCCTATAAGAGCTTGGTTTAAAAAACTGCTATGAGCCTAATTTGCCGTGTAGTGCAGTATGACTTCTCACTACGGAACATTAAACAAAACTGAAGCGTTCCCTTGGGTTGTGTGCTTCTTCTTCTGAGAGTTTGCGTACCTCCATTCGAATATTGAAGTTCAGTTCAACCAAGTTTATCAGCGACAAACCATGTACAGAGGGTACATCGTTTGAAGCTGCTACAGTTGCGGTCACCGGAAAATAGGAGAGAAGAGATATAGCCAGGCTTTGTGGGTATCGCCATAATCAGTTCATCCCTACTGAATCAGTCTAATTATTTGAATGAGTGAAAAACTGAGTATCTAAGCACTGAAAACAATAGTTCTGATATAAGAACCCTACAAACCACATGAGTGAGTGTCATCAACCATTGACGAACTGAGCTTTGGGATTCCTATCCAGGGGGGGGGGACGAAATTCGCCAACTCGACTGAGTTTACTAGTTAGCGTTTCCAGACTTCATTCAGGTTGCCTACAAGCAGCACAGAGTTGATCGAAAGGAACTCTGAGAGGTAGATGGTCCTAGAAATACACGTCCTAACAAGCGTAGCTCATGCAGCGTGAGTAGCACTTCTATCGTGAGATACCTTTCTTCGTAAAATAATCTGGCGTTTGTCAGGACTCAGTGTGTTGACCAACCTAATACTATATGGATTCTGCATGGACATCCTCCAACACAGCTCACTGAGTTGCTGAGGTAGACAAACCATCGCACCATGATGAGGTTTAGTTTGTTGGTGACGGTACCCTCACTGACTTGACAGATCAGTGGTCGTCTGTTTAGATTCCAAATAAGAAATCGGATGATACGGACACCATGCTTTTTTGCTGCTTTCTGGGTTATATTCCTGGTTGATCAAGGGGTACAGGTAGGGACCACAAAATCAACCATCTTCCTATAGCTGAGCAGCCAGGAACTACACTGCCCACATAAACGTTGCAATCAGCTTTAAATTGGGGGAACCTGTCGATGGTCGTGGGAACATCGTGCCTCACGAGAATCACTGTTTGCTCTGGTTGATTTGACCTCATAAATACTGTCCATTAAGTGGGATCAGAAGAGTTCACAAATTTCCAGAACGAACTGGCGTATATGCCCGAACTGAACTCGTTGAGAAACATCGTAGATAACTAGTCGGATACCCCACAGGCATTACATCCTGTAAGTGTCCATTCACGTGATTATACAACACATCGAAGATGCAGTCACCGGTGGTCAGCCGGGTTTTACTAAATGCTCAACAACAGTCCTACGAATATGGACAATGCTATCAATTAGCTCAAAGTGACACTGCACAGTTCTGTGAGATGAGATCACGAATAGTGGTCTGGATGTTCCTTGGAAATTTCAGAGAGTTTTTGGCCAATCAAGGCAGCGAGACGAAAAGCCAAGCAATACTAAATGTGAACTAATAACCAGTTTATTGAATCTTACTGAATGTCGGGTGGGGACTTCATCCACCAATGCACCTGGCCCAGCTCTCTACCTCCATTCAGCCGGGTTAAATGCTCAACAACACAGTCCTACGAATATGGACAATGCTATCAATTAGCTCAAAGTGACACTGCACAGTTCTGTGAGATGAGATCACGAATAGTGGTCTGGATGTTCCTTGGAAATTTCAGAGAGTTTTTGGCCAATCAAGGCAGCGAGACGAAAAGCCAAGCAATACTAAATGTGAACTAATAACCAGTTTATTGAATCTTACTGAATGTCGGGTGGGGACTTCATCCACCAATGCACCTGGCCCAGCTCTCTACCTCCATGCAAACTTGCCCTGAGCACATAGCTGTGTGTAAACACATCGATATCGTTCTCGTCTTCAAAGATGAGGAGGCACAGGTGTTTTTGGATGAACTGACCAAAGTCATCCCATCCTTTGGTATGCACTTTGCTCCAACGAAGTGCAAGGTCAGGCTCCTGGAATTGCAATCAGTCAATTCAATCAACTCATCAGCTATAAACCGTGTGCCATAGGTATAGCTGTTGCAGTTTCGATTACCGGAAAACAGGAAAGTGGAACATATAGCCAAACCTTGGAGGCAAATGCATGTTCAGTTTGTTCGGAAATTGGGTAGCTATGCATTGAAGGCGATGGCTTTGATGCACGAGCGCCACTGACTGTGAGATTGGGCCACTTCCGCCAATGTCATCAACCACAGGTGATTTGAGTCCCGGGGTCCCCATACAGGGAGGCGGCTGTTGCCCACCCGACTAAGTTTACTGGTTGGTACATTCGTACTTCGTTGGCAGGTCATAGATTGTCCACCTCTCGGTCGTTTTCACTCAGCACAGGGGTTGGAGAAAAGGGCTCCGGGAATTGCAGTCACTGAACATGCCAAAAACAATCCAAGGACGGACGCTCGAAGTTATGGAGCGTTTCACGTACATAGAATGTTGTATTAGTTTTGAGTGTATTGTGACAGATGGAGTCAATTTATGAATCTGTTCGGGTCACGTTTTCTAATTTGGGACATCTATGTCCTGAATCTGAAGGGACGTCTGTCAGGCTGCAGTAGCGGCTGTTTTGTTGTACGGATGTGAGACTTGATCTGTTCAAGCAGCGGAACTGAGATGTCTTTAGGTGTTCGAAAATCGCTACCTGAGGACCATGGCTCGTGTGGGTTTGTGTTGGAGAATCCAAAACGAGACAATTAGAAAGCGAATTTACCGTTGTGCAAAGGGGACTTCCACTGAAGAGTGTATCTGGAATCAGGAGCTGCGTTGGTTAGTAAATTTATTGCGTATGACGAACCATCGTTTGTCGAAGAGGGTGTTGTTTTCCGAGCCCAATTCAGAGTAGCGGAAGCAGAGAGGTGGCCAACTCTTGAACTGACAGAAGGGCATGAACGAGATTACGAAACCTTTGGATGTAGTCGGTTCTACTCGCCTACGAGGATAGGGACCGCGTGATCTCCACTTCGCCTGGTTGGAGACGCTACAACATGTGGCTACTGATCAATGTCAGTGGCGTTCTTGTTGTCAGTCTCCATTCAGATTGCCTGAATGAGTGTCTGGATTCGTAGGCTAACACTGTCTTTTTCTGTCCCTCTATTCTTTTCTTCACAAGGCTTTCAAATAAATCATGGTTGTTCAGCAGCGAAGCATCACTGTTGAACAATGATGTCATGCTGTCGATGTAAACACAACCACCAGGTAGTTATGGGGTCAGATGGCCGACAGAGCTTCTAAGGAGTGGCCTTTCAGGTGAGTACCAATACACGCCATGTTACACTTTGGTTATCCATTAACCCGATATATATTGTTTCAAACCAAATATGCTTATTTTAGCCGTTTTATGAACAGATTTCGTCTTATTGTGAACCCTGTGTGAACCAATTAATATACATTACCACAAAATTCGATTTTCTACACACACTTATCATCTGGAGGACCAATCACAAAGATACGAATGGTCCTTCTAGCTTCTACAGAAAATCGTTTAGATGCAGTACCCTTTCGGTGCTTCACTGCTATGCCACCCGTGGGAAGCACGAGGGCTGGGATACTGGCAAGCTGCCCAAGCCTAGATGGAAGTCGAAAGGCAGGTGTCAGGTTCGAAACCAAACCTTCAGTAAATTCGCGGCCTGACCACTGAGGCACCTCGTCCCCAATTTCTACAAAAGGTGTCAAGTTTATGTACCGTGTCTGCCACTTTGGTTGATTTATATGTACGTATTGGCGATGTACAACCTTGTTTACCGAGTTTTGGCTAACGAACTCTCTTTCTGTTTCTGATCCGCAGTAGTTGTGAGCCTTTACCTTCGGAAAATCACTGTCCCGTGGCACTTCCATAGCGTGCATACTATATGTTTGGCGACCACGCAAGGATGTTCAGTACACATAGGCAGTTCTACCGTAAATTCCCCGGCTCTATAAGTGTTCATACAGGTCATAGAGAAAACACGTCCAATCACACACTGCCGAACGCAACCTCAGCATCTTGACTGCTCCTGTCTAGGCTTGGGCAATCTGGCAGTATTCCAGCCCTCGTGACTCCGTCCAGTGACACGGCAGCTATGCACCAAAAGGGTGCTACAGCTGAACGACTATCTTATCATTATTTGTCTTACACAGCAACCTCTGAACACGTTCACCAGTCTCACACAATACACTACTAGCACCG